TGCCAAGGAAATCGAAAATTACGAGCTGACCCAGCTTAACACTTTGCTCGAGCGATCCATAGCCTAAATTAAAAACAAACATGGTTAAACCTCGGAAACGACGATTCCATTTCATCGGAAGTGATTCGGACACAGACTGAACAATTCCTTGAACTGTTTAGCCGGACTTTGAACTTTTTTGCGCCTTAAAGATGTGAAGATATCATTGCATATTATTGTTTTAATCGTACGCGGTTGGTTTGACCGAACGCACGGTTTGAATAAATTATTTTATAACATAGCTAGTAAATTTGCCTAATCAAATTCAATTGCGCGAGCGTGCTTCATATTCCTATTGTGCACGCAACAAACAAATCCCTCGCGAAAAAAAATTTTCCTTCGGGTTGAAAATGTTATAAAACAATTGGTTCATACATCAGCTGTGCGTTCATCGAGATATGAAGCACTTAGGAAGTTTGGAGAGCACTCAAGGAGCTAGAGTTGCTCTCGGCTACGCCTCGAGCAACTCTTACGCATCTTTCGTGCTCTCCAAACTTCACACGTGCTTCATATCTCCATGAACGCACGCTGACGTATGAACTAACTGTTAATTATAACATAGCAAGCAGAGCCGCGCTATCAAATTCAGTATACGCAAGCGTGCTCAAAATCCCGATGGTGCACGCTGATAGCGTGAGCAAATCGCTTCACCAGAAATTTTTTTTTTCGCGCGAGCGGCCATTGTTAGCGCGGGGAAAAATAATATATTTCGCGACAGTAATGGATACAAACAGAGACTCGGCCCACCAGCCCCAAAACGAAGACAATTTTCCGACCTTTTCCCTTGGACTAGAGTTCTTAAATGAGGGAGAAAAAGAGAAAAAGAACGAAAAAGGAGACTCCACGAACAATCACTTCTGATATTGTTGTCCGTTTTTTGCGTCGGATTTGATGCACAATTCCACCGGTTATGTTATAAAACAATGAGTTATAAAACTCAAGAAGCTAGAGTTGCCCTCGGCTATTGCCTCGGGCAACTCTTACGCTTCTTTCGTGCTCTCCAAACCTCCCACGTGTTCCATAACTCAATAGTGCACGCGAAAGCATGAACCAATTGTTAATTTGCACTTGATGCGCGCGCTTTGCTTATGTTTAATTATGATACGCATCTCGAATTTTTCCATGTATATTATTAACACGTAATCACATGATTTTTCTCGTGCAATTTGGAATAAACAAGTACTTGTTAATTTTTTCAAAGACCACAATTTTGTTAGTCTTTAAAAAAAATTACTCGTGCTTATTTATTTCAAATTGCACTCGAAATCATGTGATTACCTATACAAAAAAAAAAATTGGACGGCGTCTTTCTAGCTGCTCGGTTGAACACGGTCGATGATACCGAAAGTACAATTAAGTCTATTACCTAATTCTAGTTATATTACCTCAACCAGAGCATTGTCGAGTACTATTCTTCGAGGCTGCAAGTTTTTCAGACAAAGTGTTAAACAAAAGTATCATCAAAAACTTGACCGTAAAGGACGAACAGTTGTGTCAGTTGAGGTGTTTTGTTGAGGAAACCTGCAAATCCTACAACCTTGGTCCGCCAGACAGTGGAGGAGAAGGAAAACGAGTCTGTGAACTGAGCAGTTCCCATCATGTCTTGCATCCGGATTACCTTGTGTCGAAGTCTGGATTTATCTACCGTCCATCAGAGGTGGGAAACATATACATTGTTACTTAACACACTAATTTGATTATTAGAGAGAAGAAATTCGGTAAACACATTGATTCCATATACCAGAAAAACGGAAATCTAGTAAAAGCTATTGGAACAACGTACTCATTTGGAATATTGTTGAGTGAAGGAACACGGCGATGATATTTGACGATGGAAGTGTTGAAACGAATAGACATTTCGAAAATAAATTGGCATTCACAGTTGTATAGAAATTTGTCAAATAACTTAAATATCAGGAAGATGGGATGTTTTGCTGGTGAAGCAGACGACACATGACCATTGTGAGTGTTCAACAAAAACTGTCTTTTAAAAGTTGTATCAGCTTCAGATTGAAAATTAGCTATGAATGTAGTGATCATTAAAAATTTGTAGTAAACCTTCCGTGTTTTTCCTTTCGACAGAACCTGTGTGGAATTCCTTGTCCAGAGAAGCAATCTTGTTTCTTAGTACACAACAACGGTTTTACATGTTTGTGTCCTGAGCTAGAAGATTCAGAAAAGACATGCACTAAAGGTTGTTTTTAAATCTCTGCAAATTTATTCCAAAAACTAATCGCATGATTGCATTCTCACACCGCACTGGTTAATCTTCGACTGAATTTCATTAATAGCATCAAAAATAAAAATCTATCATAGTTTTATGTGCGAATGAGTGTCGAGAGCGTACGGTGAGGAAATCAGTAGTATAGAGTGTCAAACTTTGGGCTCGGTCACCGAGTCAAAAGCTATGGTAGTCACGAGGAAATAAAATAAGATGGCAAATTATGGGCTCGGTTGATGAATCAAGAACGATATTTACCATCTTTGTACCTATTTTAGTTTCAGACGTGGACGAGTGTGCAGCTAATACACATGACTGTGCCGCTGATGCGGATTGTATCAATACCAATGGCTCATTCGTCTGTTCATGTCAAGTGGGATATACTGGAGATGGTAAATTATGCCAAGGTAAAAAAAATGACTTAGAACATACTCTTTTCATTTCGTTCTACATTTGTCATATTTTTCTGTGCCTACGTGGTATAAGGTGTCAAATTTTGGGCTCGGTCACCGAGTCAAAAGCTATGGTAGTGTCGAGGAAACAAAATAAAATGGCAAATTATGGGCTTGGTTGATGAATCAAGAGTGATATTTACCATCTTTGTACCTATTTTAGTTTCAGACGTGGACGAGTGTGCAGCTAATACACATGACTGTGCTGCTGATGCAGACTGTATCAATACTGATGGCTCATTCATCTGTTCATGTCAAGTGGGATATATTGGAGATGGAAAATTATGCCAAGGTACAAGAATGACTCAGAACATACTCTTTTCATTTCGTTCTATATTTGACATATTTTTCTGTGCCTGCATGGCACAAGTTTTTGATTATTTTGCAGGTTTTCCTTTCCGTTTAAGGCTCAATGGGACTGAAGAACCTCTCCGGTAACAAAGAGATTTGAATTATTTTCATTTCACGCTCTCCAATCGCTATTCTAACAATAATTGAGTAATATTATTATATAGATACTGATGAAATACCAGGATTTTTCCTTTTACTAAAAAATCATATCGCGCGCAGTGAAGATACTATTTTTATCTTTCAAGTGTGAGGATATTGGTGTCGCCATGGTTATTAAAATGATTAAAAAATGTGTGAACACAAGGTAAATAATTCGTTTGTTTTCTGACAGTTTAAGTGGAGCAGCCAGCATCGCTGTTTCAGAGGACAATATTACAGCACTGTACTTGGATGGCAGTCCGCTGACCTATGCTGTAATGCCAGCCATTCCCATCCTTACCACAGGTTTCGGCATATCCGTGTGGATTAAACTGCTTAAGTATCCAAATAGTTTTCAACCTATCTACGGTGACTGGTCGTCGAATGCATCATTTGCCCTCTCAGTTAATGAAGATGGTAGATTGTGTACAGAGGCAAAAAGACAAGCTCCTGCTACAGGAAATGTTTTCTCTATATGTGGAAAGTAAGTCCTTAACATAATATAGAAGAGACGTTTTCATTTGAAGGTAGAAATGAATTCAAAGGAGTCCAAATTTCCAAATTTTTGGGGATATTAAATTGGACTGTCTTAGGCGTCCCACGCAATCTGAGAAACTAGCAAAATTACCAGCCACCCGCTTCCTGAACAGAAGCAGGAAGATCTACTGGTGTGAGGTAATTTGAGGGGACGTCGTGTCAGGTGAGATCGGTGATCCACTTGGCACTTAAATAAACTTTTCTGGATGTTAATATGGTGTTGTGTAAAGCCAAGAGCCATAGTGTATTCTAAGAAAAATTGCCCACCTACCCCTTCCCTAACCCAACAACAGTCAATTGATAACAAGCTAGGGTGAATGTTGGGTTAAGGGAGGGGTAGTTGGGCAGTTGCCCAGGCACTGATATTGATCCAGAAATTTTAGCTATCGTAACAGCACGACCTACATTAACGCTTATTTTTCTGTCAGCTTGCATGATATTCCATTGAACAAGTGGACTCACGTAGGAATGTCTTGGAGAAAATCCCTCCGTAAACTTCTATTGTTCATAAATGGAAAGACTTTCGAGGACATTGTCCATAAAAATCCAGTCCTTTCTTTCAAGAATTCAGGGCGTTTACTGCACGACATTGGCTTCAGGGAGGACACTGGTAACACAATACAAGCATACATGAGTGATTTTGTAATTATAGATAAAGAAAAAAATGGGAAAAATTTTGTAGAGGAATTCTTCGAAAGCCACCCACTCAGCAAGTTTACCTAAGCCAAAGCTTAGGAAATATAAATTGTTCATGGACCTGAAAAAAAATTAATCTCTTCTTTGGAGATCACATGATGGAAGTATTTTAATCACATGTTGGAAATACACGAGCCTGTTCTGACCCTCCAAGCACGAGTCTTTCTTGAGTGACCACTTCTGCATATCCCGACCAAGGATGTCAGTCATCCCTTTAAATAAGTGGACTTCTTGACGAAGAAAAATGGAGACACTTTCTGGCAAACCGACGTGAACTTATGATCTGAAATTTAGGCCGTAGGAGTTCTAAGTTATTAGTAAGTGTATGTTATATGCTTAAACAACATGACATCTGCATGTGACCTGAAACAGACTTTTGCAACCTTCCCTTGGGGATTAAGCCTCGTATTTTACGTCACATTTACGGCATAATTCTTCTTTCTACAACTTATTTCAAATGCGACAGAATTTGTTTATGTTTCAACTTAAGTACTTTATTGTCAAATTATCAACTTTTGACGGTGCGGCTGCATTTCTGCTTTGTTTTTTCATTCTACATTATCTGTGCGGAGTTCCTTTTCCGCAGAAGCAGTTTTGTTACCTAGTCGACGATGAAAGTTTCTCACGTCTGTGTCCACAGCATGGTGTTTCAGGACTAAATATACATGTACTGAAAGAGATTTTTCGATCGGTTGCAGATTCCCAAAAGTCATAACATTCTTATCTATAAAAGTATATTTGTATTTCATAGCTTCCTCTATGTCCATGTTTCTTTTTTGATTAGTTCAAACAACCACTGCATTGATGATGATACACTGGATCATTTGGCCCCCCACAGTTTCAAAATGAATCCCTTAATGTAAGAATTGTATGTGGGTAATTTGTGCGTTCAGCAACATCATTTATAATTCAGGGCCCGGTTGTTCAAAGGGCCGATAACGCTATCCATCGGATAAATCGCTATCCAGCGGATAAGAGTTAACAAAACGTATTGCGCTATCCGCTAGATAGAGATTTATACAGCGGATAGCGTTATCCAATTTTCGAACAACCGGAGCCAGATCTGCAGGCGTGCTCCTCAAAATAAAAGAACAAAGTTTTCGCATCTACATGTTTGCGTGTCCATTATTGAATTCAGGTTTCACAAAATTGGAGTCATGGCAGTTACTTCATAATTAATTCATCGCTTCTAACTAATAAAGTCTGCACTTCAGTATTACACCTCTTTAAAAAGGAAATTCCCACGCTGCTTCTTGGAAACTGCAAATATCCTAGATTAGAGTTCAGGAAAAAAATCACTCCGCACAGTCCAAAACAACCACTTTCGCCTTAATAAACGTAAAAAGCTACTCTTACAAAGTTTTGATTTCTGCTGTATTTCTGCTTTGTGGTCTTTCGAGATACATTACAGCTTTAACCCAAGGTTTATGACAGCAATGGGAATTAGGGATAGTTAGTTTTCACTTTTAAAAAACCTTCTTTTACTAAATAAAGTCTATCGTTTGTGACCCTAAACTAGTATGTATTTCAAACGTATTTTACGTAATCCTATCGTGATCCAGCGATGCTTGGCAACCTTAAAAAAATTATTGGTAATCAGGGATTGTTCAAGTTAAACAATGTGGAGTAATTTTTAAGCTCTTATAAAAAGAAGTCCAGTGAAGGAACAAAACAATGGTATATTTAAAGGGAAATACTCGCGTCTCATTTTGGAACGCTTCAATTAGAAAAAAAAGTTAGATAGCAAACATGACAAAAAAATGTCAACTTGGATCTGGAAAAGTGTTTGATAGGACTTACACGGCATCAACATCTACATATTAAATTTAAAGGACAACTATTGGTTTTACTTTCACAATAACCCAATTACTGGTCTCTTAATATAATTTAAATAATTTTTGTTAAAGGGACACTGTGAGGTTCGAATGGTCTCAGGATGGTTTACGGGTTCTTTATCTAAACAGAAGGGTAAACACGTACGCCGAGACACTAGCTATCGCAATCTGCAACACAAATCTAACGGTTTCTGCGTGGATCAAACCATGTTAGCCAAAAACATGCCAACTATTTACACAGATTAATCAGACCCAAACTCAGTTTGGGTTACACAAGAAGAAGAGTAGACAGTGCCGACGATATCTTTTCGATCTGCACAAAGTAAGCCTGTTATGTAATTGGTTATAACAGATACGTGAGTCCCATTTCAGACTACAAACCTTTCAGCAAACCAGAGAATATGTGAAACGGGTGGTTTGAGTCTTTCGCTTAACGGCCTGATTAACCAATCGTTTTGATGTCCACATTACTGTGATATTACTAACGGTAATGCTGCTACTGCTTTTATTACTGTTGTTCCTGCCACTACCTACTCTTTTACTAATTCAGTAATTGGCACATTGGGCTCTGAAGGGAGGCATTGAGTCCTCTGCATTTAGGCGTCTGCCCAGGGGTCAAAAATATTATTTGCAGACCTTGATACTGTAAGGAGAAATTAGATTCTGGTCACTCTCAGGGGTCAAAAGGTTTAGAGGGATAGAAAATCAGTGTTTATGGTGCCAGTTGATCTCAATGAGAAGATACTAGCCTCAATGTAGTACAGCATATCTGTTTAAGGTAAAAATGTTTCATTGAAAAATGAAAAAATGTTTCATGAAAGTCCACGCCTGCAAAGGATCATGGATAATTGCAAATCCAGTTAAACATGACAAGAATGTTATATTTTGCTAAAAACCAATAAGTTTAGTGACTATAAGTGTAGAATAAACCTATATGGTTAATTTTGTCCTAAAATAAAAAAAATCGTTTTTAAGCATGTTGCAGGAACGGGTATTGTGATTGTGCTTCTCATCTATATATAAGCATTATCTTTAATCACCAGAGTTATCATAATACCATAGGTACACTTTCAGCATCACGAACGGCAAGGATTCAGTTTCGGTGCAAATTCAATTACAAACAAATTTAAAGAAAGAAAATAATTTGAAACGTATTCATCTCAAGACCTCACAAACCTTTCACTATTTAATAATTACGAATAGCTGTTTCAGTTTTTTTTTCACGTAATTCAATAAATCTATACACTAGTTCTTCAATTTTTTTGATACATAAGATTAGAACACAATTTCACCACGGGAGAAACACTTGAGGTATGCGTGATTTAAAGAGTTTTTTGAGAAAGGAAACATATTTGAAACACTCTTGATTAAATCAGCTAATAAGGGATTGAAAAACAAAATTGCTGCAACTAGCTTACGATGTTAACAGTTTAGGTTAGTCACCCTTTCGATGAAGAAGGCTAAAAAATTCCGTAAAAAATTAAACAATAAATATCTATGGTTCAATCTTTGCAAGGGATACTTCACCTCAAAATACCCGCTGAAAGCAATAAAATAAAACGTTCATCGTCTCTGCATTGCTCTTTTTTTCTTTTTTTCGATCCTCACTTAAGAGTCAGGCTCTTTGAAAAAATCCCCGCTGGTAGGAAAAACTGCCGTCACAACGCAGACTAAATGTCCGTTCGAGGCAGTGTGTATTTAATTAAAACACTTTCATATTAGATACTGATAGGGATGTCGTACACAACTCTCAACCGCGATCTTGATACGATCTTAATGTTTATTTAAACATGTTTAAACAAATTGTCTTTAAATCACTCCATGGTAACTTTCGAAAAAAGGTGAGAGAGCCAACCCTGTTCCCAAGAGCCCTGTTTGTTGAAAAGGCCCTGGGAAAAGTTTTGAGTCATAGCATGCCTTAAAAAAAAAGCGAGAAACACGATGAATATATGACGATGATGACAACTTAGGGTTCCCCTAGCTCCCTCCCCAATTGCTGTCGACTTTTCCATTCCCCCCCCCAGTTGTACGAGGGTCTGAATATGGTTAATTGACAACTGACAAATGGCCAAAATTTTAACTGAAAAATCGCTGAAAATCTAACTGACAGCTGATAAACGGCGGAAATTTTAATTGACAAATGACATTTGTACCCCCTCATCCAGACTCTTGTACTCCTGCTGCGTTAAATATCACTCAGGTAGGGATGAAAAGTGGCTGATACGGTTTATCTATTTAATATTTTTTCTTTGTGGTATCTTACAACTTCCGAAGTCTTCAAGGTTTCTCGACCTGTGTAATCTTTTTTAAGATGCTTAGCTTTTCGCCGCTCAACAGTATGCAACATTTTTGGATTTCTGAAAGCACGCATGAGCATTCGTACTTGATCGGTATGGCTCAGTAACGAGCCTGAATGCAAAAGAAGATATCAGATTCTGAAAATAACAGCTGACTGCGTTTTGCAGTCAGTTTAAACTACGTACAACTACGTATTTCACATAGGAAAATAATCTACGAGTAATTTACAGTCTCCAACTTTTCACAATCTATCACGGCTGCAGGAGAACTTTCCCTGTTGTCTGCCTTCCTTCTAACATGTCGTGGGCCTTTTTCACATCAGACAAGGGAACCACTGTGATTCCGCCGCTAAATTTGAGTTTTCCTTCAGTCAACCAAGTGAAAAGCTCTGTGGCTCTTTGGCTGTATTCAGCTGGATCCTCCACAAAGTGGAAATTGACACCATATGTGACGTAAAAGGAACCTTTGGCAAGCACGCCGGTATCGAGAGGCTCAGGGCGACCTGACGCTCCACCGAATAAAACAACGGTTCCTCGACGTGCCAGACAACCGAAATCTGGGTTTAAAAAGGAAGGCCACATACATTTTAAGTCACAAGTCATTCTCTTAAATTTTGCC